ATAAGTGAAATTATATGGCATTTATCTTTCTCTGACTGACTTATTCACTGACATAATATCATCTCCATCCATCCATACTGCCATAAATGGTTGATTTTATTCTTTTTATGAATGAGTAATATTCCATTATATATATGTACCCCAGCATTTTATCCATTCATCTATTGATAGAAACTTTGGTTGCTATCAATATCTTTGTTAATACCTTGGCTATCGATGTTATCTATAGTTTGTTTATTAGATTTCAAGACCGGGGATACAGTTTGCTTTCTTGAATGTGCCCTCTGGGCCATGCTTCCTTTAGCAACGAAGGATAACATTGTTTGCGGAGACACTTTATCAGCCTGATTACATCTAGGAGAATTTGGCAACTCCAACTCCTGTTTTTATTGTCCATCCTTTCTGTCCCTTTCCATCCAAAGTGGCAGTTTTTGCTGAAGTAAATTTCTCAGAAATGTTGTCTATCGCTCATGGATTTCACTGAGGGCCATTCCATTAAACAAAAAACACACCCACAGGGTTTTTTTAGGTAACATCTCTATTTTGGACTCCTGCTGAGATGGTTGAAGGACAATGCTATTAAGCATCTTAGAGACCCTTTAGTTTGATTGAGAGATTCTGTGAGACATATTTTTTAGTCTTGTGAGAGAACACTTTTTAATCTTGTGAAAGAACACTTTATGTGACTGAATACTCTGGCTTTTTTATCTTTCTGAGGTTTTAGCAAGGTGTTGCGCAGTTAACATCTTGACCTTTTCTCTAAAGCATGTTTTCATGACAGGAAATCTCTTAATGTTAGTATTTTTTCCATCTGGAGAGATTGAGAATTTTCAAAATTATTCCTGTTTCTTTTTTTTGTCTAATAGTCTCTTTATTTGCCTCTCTTCTTTCTCATTTTATGATAAGCATCAAAAAAGGAATTAGGTATCATCTCCAACAACTTCCTTGGAAATCTCCTTAGCTGTATATATAACCAAATTATCACTTAAACAACCTGATTTTCACATAGCTGTGGGAGATAATTTTGCTGAGTTTTCTGCCACTTTTACAAGAGTCCCCCAATCTGAATCTTTAAATTTTCAGTAACTTGTTCCTTACTTCCTTTTGAGTCCTCCACTGTAGCTTCCTTCAAGTCTAAATCTCTACTAGAAATCTGTTAACTTAGGCTTTTGTCATGCTCCTCAAAATTCTTCCAGCTTCAGTCCATTGCTCAGTTCCTAAATCACTGACAATTTTAGGTATTTGTTACCACAGCATTGTACATCTGGTACCAAGATCTGTTATGTCTTCTCTTGCTGCATAGCAAATTATCACAAATATAGGGACTTAAAGCAGTTCATTTATTATCTCACAACTTTTGTGGGTCACTGCTTCAGACAACTTTTAGCTAAGTCATCTGCTTGAATTCGCACAAGGCCACAATCAACATATTAGTTTGGGGGCACCGATTGCTCAGAATTTTTAAACTATGCAAATTGCTGGAGCACTGTGTACTTATATATGAAATACATGAAGTCATGAGGTATCACTATTATTGTAATGGTATGCTATATTATTAGTAAACCTCTACATCTAAATGACTTGGTGTTGAAGCAAATTGTTTTTCAAAGTTGACCTTTGATAGCTTGTATTTCATATTATGGTTTGATATAGTTAATCTTTTCATGAGTCATAGCTCATTTTGAAAGTTATGGTTCCTGTCCTATTTTATAGATGGATCAGCCTGATATTCTCTGGGATAACAATGTAGGATCGAGCAGGATGGAAACCAGAATGATACTTCTGGTTAAAAAGGCTACGACTATGTTTGGATTTTTTATATAAGTTCAATTAATTTTTTATTTTTCTTTGTTATGAGAATAAAAATAAATAAACGTATATTATCTATAGATTAATATCTATATATCATATGTCAGGGATTGCATTTATTTTCTTGAGTGAAGTTGTCATATCAAAACCACAGATATAATTGATACCAACACCTGGATAAGTTTTTTAATTTTATACTATTATTTTCCATACCCTTTTTGGTTTTTCAATGGCCAAACAGGTAAGTTAAATGTGGATATGATAAGAATCACCACATTTCTCAAGTTATCGGCAATTGCCTCAGCAATTTTTCCAATGGACATAGTACTGCCTTTAGTGTACCATCTTATCAGGACATTCATAGAATATTTTTATACACTTCCCATCATAATATCATGTTATTCCCATCCTCTCTATAAAGGTTAGTGAGAAGTGCAGAGTTTCTGCCAGTAACCAAGCATATTTATTTCCCACTATACTCTCTGGGATTGGTTAAACAACCACAGGATGCACCCAAGGTCCCAAAAAACTCCTGTTAGATTGACTTAGGTCAAATCTTTAGTTGTCACTTGAAAACACTAACTCGTAGCTTGTATCATTTGGGATCTTGGAGAATAAGCATGCAAGGAGAGTCAATTTTAAGTAACTCCAGGAATGTCTGGTGAATTTCTTTCACCAGTGTATAATCTACTTAGCAATATTGTATATCCCTTTGGGAAATTCTTAGGTGAAGTTTAATGGTCTAATCCCATGGCTATCTTGTAGGCTGCTCCTATAAAAGGTCTAAGCCTCTTTCTCTAAGTGGCACCAATCTGTGAAGTAGCTTAAGCCTGGACACAAGGAAAGAGTATATTAATCCCCATAATATTAGCCATACTCCAGTTTCTAAACAGTTGATCTAGAATTTCTACCTATATATGTCAAACAACCATATCTGGTTCCTCATTTGTTTTAAGAATCCTATATCCATTAGTCATTGTCATTAATCTGTGTATGTCAAAAGAGTCTGGTTCCCATAGAATTCTTTTAACTTATTTTATAACTTACTTCTACCTTGTCTGTGGTATTTAAGCATTGCCATCAAGTTCTATCATTTTGAGATTCCACTTTTTTCCCCATTGAATTTGCGGAATTCAGTTCCATTATAGCATCCTTTCTTGCTTTTTTTTTTTTTTTCACTTTTTCTGACCCACAGAGAAGAAACACCAGAGATCTCTTAAGTGACTGATATTCTTCTAACTTCTTCAACACAGATAATGAACTGTCTTACTCACAGTGTGGTTTGTAAGTAGTTGAACAGATTCTTTATAGATACATTCTAATAGTCTCATTTCTGGGAGTTTTCTGGTATGAAAAGAAGCTTCTGGCATTAGGACCTCATTAACTAAAGGCCACAATTGTATCCAGGCTGCAATTACTGAATCAAATGAACTATTAATGTCAGTTCCAACTACTGAAGATGTAAATTAAATACAAATCCTAGGTAGGTGAACCTCTGTCAAGGATGGGCCCAGAAATAGTGCAAGGTACTGGATTGGAAAGATGTTGTCTGCAATGACAAAAGGCATTCAAGGAAACACTGAGGTTCTAAGTTCTTAGCCTTATTCATTAATGTGGACATGTAGCAATTCCATGCTTCAAGTTCCTGCTGCTTTTTCAACAGTACCCATACAATAGTATAAGAGAGCTTGTGGAATTAAGTCTTTAGTTGGTCTTTCAAAGTCTGTAGTTTATCCAATCAGATCCTGGCTTCTGTGTTTGTATGAGCAATAACAGATTCCTTTAAAGTTGCCATTGAGACATTTTGATTTTCAGTGCATATTATTAATTACATGTTAATAGTTTTTAATTTATATTTGTACATATGTATGAAAAGCAGAAGCAGTATGTTTGGACAATTTTTATAATCACTAATTTTGGCACAATGATCAGTTGCCACAGCTACATGATCTCCCCAAACCTAGTGCTTTACATAAGCTTCATGCCCTTTACCTAATGCTGCCTCCAGAAGTAAGGATTAGGCGTGCTTCATTTTCTTGAGGCAAGAAAATTATTCTTTTGTTATTTGAAAGTATGGAGCAACCTAATGTCTGAACAGGTGTTGAACTATTTTTTCTGGCCATCTGCAGGACCAGTTGTTTACCAATTTGGCTTTCATTAAGAAACAGCACACTTAAAACAAGATAAATTGAGAAGAGTTCATTGTAAATTTATAAAAACACCAATGTAAGATAATCAGAGGTATAACTGTTACTAGTCTTGTACCAAAAGAGACACAGGAAGGAAGAAGTTGACTTGAAATCTGATGAACATAGTGGTTGTATTAGTTTCAGTACCAGAAACTAGGTGCCATAAAACAACAGAAATGTATTCTCTCACAGTGAGGGAGGTTAAAAGTCTGAAATCAAGGTATAAGCAGGGTCATTCTCTCTCTGAGGGCTTTTGAGGAGAATCCATCCCTGCCTCTGCCTACCTTTAGAGATTATTGGAAATCTTTGATATTCCTTGGTTTATAGATGAATCTCTCCAATATTGTCTTTATCTTCACATGGCCATATTCCTTTTGTGTCTTTCTGTCTCTGTGTCTCTTCTCTTTTTATAAGAACACTAGTTATATTAAATGTACGGCCTACTCTACATCAATATGAACAATTATATCTACAAAGACCCTATGTTCAAATAAGTCATATCTGGGCTTCTGGAAATGAATAAATTTAAGAAGACACTATTCAGCCTAGTACCATTATATAAAGTATGCACTTGAGAAAGGCTTTATCCTTCAATAGAAGTGAAACAATTAGCTTGAGTTGAGCTAGAAATTATGGAGCTAGGAAGATAAATATGTTGGCTTTACTCTTTTCCCTCCATCTAAATGTTCTTCTGTGCTCCCTATTGGACAAGAGAAACTAGAATCTAGAAGATATGAAATCCATATTACTCAAACCCTTGGCCAGAGAGCCAGATAGAGAAAAATAAAAAGACAATCTTAAAGAGCAAAAAATATTTAGTGTACCCTTAACAGGACCCTGGAAATCTAAATAAGCTCACTAGGTTACCATACAGATGTGGAAAATGTACTAGAAGTTAGGTACTTGATGGAATGGAAATAATCAAAGCAGGAAGATATAACCTAAACTCTATAAACAAGTAAAGTATTATTGTTGATAGAACTTGTCAATTTTTTTGGTAGCCAGGGGAGAATGCAAACACATTCCCCTACTACTACAAATTATGCAGTTGAGTTTCACACAATTGGGGAAATCACAGGTGTCAGTGCACTTGGAGTACAAAGGATAAGCCTCACCTTGGGAAAACCACCTTCATGATGACGGTATCTCCCTTGCCAGGTAAGTATAAATTTGTCAGTTTTCTATTTTGGAGCTTCATCTGCCTTTTAACTTCTCAAGAAGCAGAAATTATTGGGTACTTGAGAGAAATCAGAAAGCTTTGAGAGAAACCAATTAAATTCACCTATTTTGAAAATCTAATACTATGAGAATCCAGTAAGGTTCTATGCTAACCTGAAAAAGAAGGCAATTACTTTTCTAAAGATGCTTAGAAGTACAGAAGGAATGACAGAGAATAAGTACTCAAAAACTGATTATGGGAATATCTTCATGAGTTCTGATCTTACAGTCAACTAAAACAATCTTTTGAGGATTCTTTTTAAAATTAAGATTAATGTGGTTTGGGGAAAAAAATGACCTTTTATTATCCAAAATGAGTAAACATTTTCTTATCCAAAATAAATTAATTTTTAAAAGAAAATAGGATGCCTGGGTTAAAGTAATATAAATGAAACATTCTCTAACATATCATCTCCTTATGCCACACTAAAATATTAGGAATACTAAACAATAAAACATTCACATTAGCACTGAAAACTTAGACTAGCAGTCATCAATTCATTAGTGCCTGTGGATAATGTCCATGAGGAGCAAGATACAGTGTCATCTTTCTATTCACCTCAGCCCTGACCAAGGTCATTAATCAAGGAAAAAATAAGCTTTAGTTTGATTTACCCCAACTCTGTTACATTAACCAACAGGCACATTTCTGTAACAACCAGACACTCTCTGCAGGAACACTGCCTTCTTAAGTAGCCATTGCCCATTTCCGACCTCATGATTCCCTTCCTTTCTATATGCATTCAGACACTACGCATATCGTGCTTAGGGAAAGAAGAGAACAGATATTGAAACTTGACATTCTCATATAGAATCCTCTCATCTAAAGTGCTACCACTGGGAGGGGCACAAAAAGAAAGGTAATTGATATAGTTGGGTCGGTGTGTGTGTGGCAGGGGTGTGTGCACATGCACATGTGCGTGTGTGCATATGTGTATGTTTATTTTAATGCTCTATAAGTGATCAAAGAAAGATATAATCTTTTTCAGAAACTATAAAGTATCCTTAGTTTAAACATAAAAGTTTATAAGAAAATATACCAAAACAACTGTGAAGGTCAGTGGAATACATAGTTATAAGTTATGTTTAATTCCTTGATGAAAAAATTCCGGATTTTCTAAATCATCTAGATTTTGTCTATAAACTTTTGTAATTAAGAGGAATGAAACACACTTAAAAACAAATAAATGGACAAAAAAAGGAGAAAATAGAAAAGCAAACACAGAAGTCTTGTCTGAATGATATTGTATTATCAAATTTTGTAGCAGTGGTTGAAAAGACCACTGAATGCAAAATAATCTTTATCACACAAATGAGTATTCTTGAGTTTGTGCCATAGAACAATATTTATTAAAAATCACACCAGTGTTTGTGTCTTAATTCTCTGATGTTTTGCTCACAACTTAATAAGTGGAAGCTCTTTAATGCATGAGGTATAGTTTTCAAGAACCACATCATAGTATATTTTACTTTGTCATTTGTTGGATTTCCTTGGCTGACCTAATATAGAATGCTAATTTTCAATTCAGTTGTTTCACTCATGCTTCAAGATCTAAATCAACCATTTTAAGGAATCTTCCTGAAATCTATACCCTGTGCTGATATCCCTTTTATGTTAATTACTATTAAAATTATCTAGCTTTAGTCTTTTTTGGTACATTGATTTTTTATGTTAAATTTTGTCTTCTCAACATGCTATGATAAAGATGAAATTTGGCATTGCATTTGCTTCCAAGTGTACCATAAGTGCTATATTTGTATTCCTTTAACCTTGAGGAAGAGGCAATAAAAGTCTCATAACAAATAAAATCATATTAGAGAGATATAGAATAATATTTATGTTAAAAAATAACAACTTATTTACAGACTACCTTTAAAATGATGTATTTATAACATTGTTTAAGGGACAACATTCAATTTTTCATTATAAAGATATTTTTGTAATCTCATCAAAAATCGGCACATTTGAAATTGTATGTCATCATTAGTATTGAGGTGAAGTTTACATTCTTGAGAAACTAAACTTAAAAATGAACTGTCTCCTTTGTTATCTGTTATCTATCTAACTATTTAGAACTAAATTGCTAATAGTGAACACTGAATCTATTATCATGATCACAAGGAATAAAGATTATACAGACTTAAGTTTAATCTCAACCTTTGCCTTTGTGGCCTGACATTTTGTTTACTACACATTTGTGGTCACTCAGTCATAAATATTCTCTAAATTTCTTTTCTATATAGAGCTGAGAAGGCATAAACCAGTATTGAGTAATTTTACATCCATAGAGTATTCTCTTGAATTTTCTCAATATATACTATTGAAACATATATTTAAAATTAATTTAAAATTTATATGATATTTATAAATATCAAGTAAACATATCACACTAAAATATTAGAAATGGTACTGTTTAATAAATGCTTATTAATTCACTGAACATTTTATCTACTGGAACTACTTATTAGGCATTCCTTTAACAGTTAAGATGCATATGCATATGAATAAGTCCAAAGGCTCCTACCCTTCAGGAACTCATAATCTACTCAAGGAGGACCACCGGGGCTTATTCACAATCAATACAATGTAATGACAACTATTCTGGGTATATGAATAATGATTAATAAGAATACATCAAGGAATGTTTAACTTTGCCTCTAAAGGGCAAGGAAAGATTTAACCACCTTTATCATCAATTAATATTTGACAGAGATAGCAAGCACATACAATGGGCTAAACATAGTTTATTCAATAAATGATGTTTGGAATATTGGACGGACATGCAGAAAAAATAAACGAGACACACTTGTTACACCACACAGGAGAATAAATTCAAAATGGAATACTTCAATATTAGATCCAAAACCATGAAAATCCTAAAAGAAACCATAAGCAGCAAAATCTTGTACAGTGCTCATAGCAATTTTTTATTGGATATATCTCCCCAGGCAAGGGAAACAGAAAAAAATAAACAAAAAAAATTTTGCATAACAAAGGAAATCAAGAAAATAGAAAGACAACCCACAGAATGAGAGAACATATTACTAATACATTTAATAAGTGGTTAATATTCAAAATTTATAGAGAACTTATAAAACTCAACACCAAAAACACAAACAAACCAATTAAAAAATGGGCCAAGTACCTGAATAGACATTCCTCTACAGAGGACTTACAGATGACTAATAGACATATAAAAGATGCTCAATGTCACTAATCATCAGAGAAATGTAAATTAAAACCACAATGAGATACCATCTCACATCTGTCAGAATGCCTCTCATCAATGAATCAATAAACAGAAAATGCTGGCAAGGATGTGGAGAAAGGGGAACCTTTTGTCCTGTTGGTGGGAAGGCAGGTTGGTGCAGCCACTATGGAAATCAGTATGGAGATATCTCAGAAAAATTAAAAATGGATCTGCCTTTTGATCCAGCAGTCTCACTTCTGGGAATATATTTGAAGGAACTCAAAACATTAATTCAAAAGAACATAAGCACCCCTATTGTTCACTGAAGCATTATTTACAATCACCAAGATATGGAAGCAGCCCAATGGCCATCAACAGATGAGTGGATAAAGCAACTATGGGACATTTACACAATGGAGTACTAGTCAGCTGTAAAAAAAAAAAAAAATATTGCCCTTTGCAACAGTATGGATGGACCTGAAGAACATTATGCTAAATGAAATAAGCCAGTCAAAGAAAGACAAATACCATCTGATATCATTCATATGTGGACTCTAGTGAACCAACTAAACTAAGATGCAAAACAAAGACAGACTGTCATAGATGGTGAGCAGTTTCCAGCTAGTGGGGGGGGGCGAGGATTCGTTAGGTGATGGAGAGACTGAGCCAAAAGGAAAAAGGATTTATGGACACAGACAACAGAGTGGTGATTATAGGGGATTAGGTAGATATAAGGGGACTAAATGGTACTGCAGAAAAATACAATAAAGATTAATTTAAAAATAATTTAAAAAATAAACTTGCACTAAAAAAAAAATTAATCAAGGAAATACTATTCAAGTTTACTCTTGAAGAATTTGCATGTTAATTTTTTAGCCACTCTGTTTTTTGAGAACCCCTATATTCCAAGAACTGTTCTAAAAATTAAAGGAATAATTTTTAATATAACCAAACCCCGATCCATTACAACCTAATAGTGGAGACAGATATGATTATATAATCTTTTTAACAGATACACATTTACGAACTGAAGTATATTTTATGAGGATACAGAAAGAAAATCTGTAAAAATATATAAGTTGGTGCCCACATTTACCCTAAGGAAATGCTGCATAAGTTTGGTGGAGTTTGTCAAGCAAAGTGAAGGATGAAGTCAAGAAAGCCTTGTATACACAAAGGTCATCTGGTAAAAGGAAGTAAAACACACTGAAAAGAGAGATCTTAAAAAGCTGACAATCACAAACATTGAGAACTAATGAAAAACTTTAGATAGAATCCTACCACTCAAAAAAAAAGGATTTTGTACAATTCTGACAATAAAATAAGAAAACATGTGGCATATTCATATAATGATAAGCAGTTGAACTTAACGTAAAGAGGAGATTGAGAAGACATGAAGACAGCCCTAACATTCCCTTCAGCTTGAAACTTGCGCTAGGCTTTTTCCTGACTCCAGGCTCCTGACATCCTTTTTCTTAGAGCATTACTTTAGGAACTTGTAAATTCTTTCTCTGCTTCTTTGAGATGAAAATCTTTTAATAAGATTCTTGCCAGTTTTTCAACCCAGAAATGTCTTTCTCAAGGACCTGTTACTTTACAATATAATCATCAAGGTAGATAGTATCCTTATCTCCCATTTTCTGTGAGAGGGTAGATAGGAGCCTAATTTTGTCAGGTTGCTCCAAGCTGTAAAAATGCTTTCTGTTATGAGGAAAGAAAAAGTTTATTTTTCATTTGGTTAAAACCAGTTAGCAAAT